CAGCTATTAACATTACATTTGTTATCATGTTACAGTGTTGATTTGAAGCTTTCGTGACTGCAGGAATCCATACTCTTTGGTTCTTTCGGTAAAGTCGTCACGTGGGTAGAAAAAATAATAGATCACGACGTTTCGATCGCAACACAAGCAATCGTCATCAGGTGGGACAACCCAAGCAAGAAAGAACTGCTGAAGTAGGCCTACTGATGACGGTTGCTTGCGTTGCGATCGAAACGTCGTGATCTATTATTTGTTCTACCCACGTGACTTTACCGAAAGAACCAAAGAGTATGTTACAGTGTATTATCCGTTCTTTTCCCATTAAAAACGATAGTCCCATATAAGTGAAACACCCTCTGTATATATATACACTCTTTGTATAATGCCACTTCTCATAAACAAAAGTATCTGTCACTCACAGTGTTTACAAAGCAACATAAAGAAGGGAACGCGTCCGAGTGGATATACTCCGCGGAGACGGGGCGATGAAATCATCTTGTGCGGAGGTGCAAGGGTGATTGTTAGATGATGGGACCGTGAGTCATGGCGACGGCTTGGGGAGGTCTTCATCCAGCAGTGACGGTGATACTGACAATTAATTAAACAATACATATACGGATATGCAAGTATTATAGTAACAATGTTTAGTTCTATATGACGGCGTTCATGCAAATCTAATCTCACAATTGCCGAGGAACCAGGCATATCCGGCGCCAGGAATTGCCCAAGCTCTGCAGCCCTCTACACATCAAGATGTTTTCAGCCAATTAATGAGTGTTTATACATGTACTGTACCTCCGACGAGCACGGTTGGCTACGTACAGTGCGAAATAAGCTGAACATACGGAGGTGGAAACCGGAGCACCCAGAGAAAACACGATACAGATGGAACAGATGGGACAGATGATATTATTCCGCACTTTGCTGCACCGCCCTCTCCTGGCGAGCCAGTGTACGGCACCTACTCTCGACGTCCACGGTTGACATTTGTGCGGTCCACAAAGCCTGGCCTCCTCCACACTGCCAGACTTAACAAGGCCACGCGCGTCGATAAGCCACGCCACTGCCGGGCTATGCATTTCTCTCTCAAGTTCAATGACGAAGAGCAGCTGAATGGATCAAGGTCTCCTCCGTCCCTTGCCGCTCTCCCTGCCCCTCCACCACGCAACACGGCCAGGGTTGCGGTGGCTTCTCCTTTGCCTCCTTTCAAGAGTTTTGTTTTTCTCTTTGGTGACACAATCCCCAGAAACATTTGCGCGTCACACCAATGACAATGCGACGCATATGGTAATGTAATAATGACACTACTTAATCTATAGTCTAAGATGCGATCGTATTTTATCGTTACAATCCAGAAATCTGAATATTTTATTGTATACTCTTTGGTTCTTTCGGTAAAGTCACGTAGGTAGAAAAATAATAGATCACGACGTTTCGATCACAACACAAGCAACCATCATCAGGGGGGGACAACCCCAGCAAGAAAGAAACCTGCTGAAGTAGGCGAGAGATCTGCCGTGGCACGAGGTTCAATAGGCCTCGGCAGTAGGGGGGGGGAGAGAGAAGGGGGGGGGGGCAGAATTTTTTTTTATTGTACTGGAGGAATCCGATGAACTATAAAGCTCTTTTTCACAGATGGCCCACCCGGGGCGGGTCAGAACGTCACAACAACGAGTTTCGTGCCGTTTGTCCACCCATTCCTGGATGAAGGTCTCCCCACATTGTGTTAGTAAACGGGGGTTGTTCGACCATACTTCACCACGCCGGTTAACGTGGGAGCGGTTCGGCTTTTAGCCATGACCGGAAATCCGACTCGTGGTTGCCAGGTTCCTCGAGTACAGGATGGTCCAGATGTCTTGTGACCCCCGTTTAATTCTCAAAAAAACTATGTAAAAATGTTTAAAGCAAAGGTTTATTTTAAACAGAATTTAATATGCAAAGGGGTCAAATAATTGGCGGGTCATGAGACAATCTGGACCACCCTGGACATGAAAGTGGGTTAACCACTGCGCCACCGCTCCGTTTCACGGTTTGCAAATACCCACGTAAAGCAGCAGGGGGTACCCTGCGATCGAGCATAAACAATCTCAATTTGTTGTTTGCGACGTCTATTTATAAAAGGGGAAACAAGAAACACGCAAAAGCTTAGGTTACGCGACCAACAGTTGACGTCGGCAATATTTACCATCAATGTATGTATTCACTGAGCCAGGCGTATTGGTGGTGGTGGTGGTGGGGCACGCCTGTGATGCAACGCTTTGGAGGCAAGGGTTGGTGGATCACGTAAGGATTTGCTAAAAAAAAAAAACCTCCCAAACTTGCCGATGGGGTTGGCTGGCAGCATTTTCACAGGCCACAGCCGTAAACATTTATTTGTTAGCCTGGGTCGATCAAAAACAAGTGCCGTATACACCTGTAATAAAGTTTAACACAGATCTCGGTATAAAATCAGCTCTTGCCACCCGAACAGAGATACCAATAACCTGGAGAGGTGGCGACCGTATTTTTTAGATGCCAGGTAAGAAGGTGGTACAAAAAGTGGGTTCATGGAGCTTTACGCGTTTCTTCTCACAAGCTAAACACTCGCATGCGTGTAATGCCACAAAGCACCTCCGAATTCGCACGCTTGGCTACGCTCGGTGTGAAACAAGGTCAACACGCATACTTACTAAACTGCCACAGTCCTGTACTCGTTGAATGAATGTATAAAGCGCGTGAAGTTATGACCTCTTTGCCATAATCTAACGCCGCACTGTGGTGAGCCATGGGATGGGTGACCCTTCGGACTAATGTAAATCCCAAATTATATATTTAGTTAGGTTAGCGTGTGCGTTTGAGACCGGGATTTGTAGAGTTGGTGGGGGGGTCACTGAATTCGGTCCGCTGGTTGGAACTCGAGCTCCCTGGACGTGACGTGAACGCTGAATCTATGAACCGAACGGGGAGTTGGGTCTGAACACAGCATCTATAATTACACTGGTCAACACACTTTTTCTGGCATAAGGTATTCCAACGGTTTTAAGGTAATTTTGGGGTGCTGATTCCAAATCTGGCATCAGTTTTTGTTTATCACATCATGTTTTTGAGATATCAAATATTGCATTTTCAATCAAAACTGCAGAAGAAAAATATTAAATAAATGTGAATATCTACATAAAATGATATTGTAAACACACTATCCTAAAAATACAACACTATATTTTAACACTAAAGCAGTCACTGACTCGCAATAACTTGCAATCATAAGTGACAGAGTTTATTTCGGGTAAAATCAATGAAAATGGGGTATGCCGATAGCATAAAAATGAGATGTGATAGAGCAAATCTGAGATCAGATTTGGAATCAGCACCCTGAAATTAGTCTAAAACAGCTGCAAAAGTCCAGGCCAGAATTTGTTTTTTTGTTGGCCAGTGTTATTATTGTTTTGCTGCTATGAGCGTGATTTTGACCGTCACCGTAAAGCCGGCCGCACCCCGATTATCCCCAACTCCCCACCAACTCCCCACCACTACCCACCAACTCGCCACCACTACCCAGCCCAACCCGGTGTGCTCAGGGGCGGGGTCTAAGCAAAATAGAGGCGGGGCCTTAAATAAGAGGGTGTGGCCTAAAAAGGAAAGGCGCAGAAAGAGGAAGTAGGTGGAGCCTACGGAAGGGGTGGGGCCTAGAGGTTGAATTCCCCAGTTGATTTAAGGCAGTGGTTCTTAACTCTTACTGTAGCCTTGGTTCTCAATCGTAAAAAAATATGTTAATAAATACATAGGTGCTTAATTCGTGTTTTAGACGATTTATCTTCGAAAACAATCTGGAATGTCTCATACCCCGAGAAAGAGCATCTCTCACCCCCAGGGAGTGCGTGCAGCCCAGGTTAAGAACCGCTGATTTAAGGTAATAAATGAAGTAAAATAACTGCAGCAGGCAACATACTCAGAGTCCTGCAGATGCGAACGCAGACCAACCAGTTGTATATTACACGTGCACTGAAAAACCTCTTTGGGAAGACCTTGTTTTTTAAGACTCATTTTCAAAACGGTCCTGCTTTGGGATGTCTTGGCTTCATTGTACTTTTGTTCTTTGCTGTGGGAGGTCACTGGCATAGCCAGGAAAAGAAACAAGAACTCCCGCGTAAAAGGAGATTCCATTCAAACGTTTCGATATAGTTCAAGCCTACTAGCAGCGCTGCTTCTTAGAGGCACCTCTGAATGGTCCACAAACCCCACCATTAAGTATGGAATTCAGATGAACTCTTTACAACACTGGTCAACAAAAAAACTACAAAATTCTGACCTGGACTTTTGCAGCTGTTTTAGACTAATTTCAGGGTGCTGATTCCAAATCTGATCTCAGATTTGCTCTATCACATCTCATTTTTTCGCGATCGGCATACCCCATTTTCATTGATTTTACCTGAAATTTACTCTGTCACTTATGATTGCAAGTTGTTGCGAGTCAGTGACTGCTTTAGTGTTAATATATGGTGCTGTATTTTTAGGATAGTGTGTTTATAATATAATTTTATGTAGATATCCACATTTATTTAATATTTTTCTTCTGCAGTTTTTATTGAAAATGCAATATTTGATATCTCAAAAACCTGATGTGATAGACAAACACTGATACCAGATTTGGAATCAGCACCCCAAAATTACCTTAAAACCGTTGGAATACCTAATGCCAGAAAAAGTGTGTTGACCAGTGTAATAAGTGTTGTTAGAGCATTGGTTCAAGAGTGGTTATTACAATACACGAAGGTTTATGTAATAAAAATTCTGCATAATAATGCAATTATTGAACGGCGTGGAGTCATGGCACAGTGGCTCGCGCACGATGCTACAATTCAGGTGTCCTGAGTTGAACACCTGGTCGTGGCTAGCATTGCTTGGCCAGGGATATCTGAACTGGTCCTTGAGTCTCCACACGCCTTCAGCAACCGTCACTGAGCAGCATGGTGAGGTATGGTCGAACAACCTCCAAACAAAGGGTTTGTGAAAGCCTTTTATTTATTTTTCTTATTAAACAAACAGTAGAACAAGGTTAAGCACTTAACTTTACGGGAAAAAAGTGTGAACGTCAAATGAGCAAATACAAAAATACTAAATTCCCTCCACAGGTTTGAAATGTCTTCTTACAATTAAGCGTTTTTAAACGTAGCGAATTATTTAATGACACTGCTTCGTTTGCAGTGGTGCACAAGCACGAATACCACAATAAAACCTCAACACATTTGTGAATAACACTTCCTTTTCCTTTCAAGGTAGTGTTGCGGACTCATGTATTGAGTTGTTTTTAAATATAATACTCGGTATCAACAGGAGCCTGCATGAACGTGTTACTCGTGTCAATGTCTTAAATCCAACATGATCATAACTGGTGTCAATTTAAAAAAATGCATTGTGTTACTTTTCACGAATCGCAGCCACAATATAGTGATTTCAGATTATGCTGCAGTAACTGGAATTATAATCGACCCCAGGTCTGATGAAAGTAAAGATAAGCCATTGCCAATTGAAAATTGCATTGCAGCCATGTAACCTCGAATCATCTGCTATATAACAGAAACATTTATCGTCGATGATAGCAACGTCACTTTCGCTCTAATCGCAAAGGGGATAAATTGTTAAGTGCCAAGACATTGCTCAGTCACTGGTCACATTCATTGCACACAGCTCCTCATTGAAACAGTGAAATCTGAAAAAGGCAGGACTTTCGAGTAGTTACAGAGCATTGACTGTAGACCAGAATATGCAGCAAATTTCACAACACCTTAGCAATATAAAATTGTATACTGTAATGGTAATGAAATAATCACCTGTTCTAGTTACTGTGTCCACGTTATTGTATTTTACACACTATGGTGTAAGCACTTTCAGAACAAGGCAATACACTGAGTAGCTGCAACTGTATACAGGCGATGAAATAATAATTTGTTCTAGTTTCTGCATCCGCGTCATTACATTTTACACACTATAGTGCAAGCAATTTCATGGCTAGGGAATGCACTGCGTAGCTGCTTTTAATGAGAAACACAAAGCTGAGTTCCCAGCATCGTTATATCATCAACTACGTCTTCATCATCATCACCATGGAGTTCACTACAGCCGTATACAGCGCTCTAGTCTGGAAGTGGATCGTGACCGGGCAGTGCCTGTACCTTGCGGCTGGCCACCCTCCGCTCCCGTCTCGCTAGGTTGTAATTCACCGCCGCCGTGTCCGTTTGTTGGGGGCTGAGGCGATGCCGAGTCAGTTCCATTGGGGGTGTCAGTGGCTCCAGGCCAACAGCCCGTGTCGACCTCGTCGTACGCCACCGCACAGCTGACGGAACTGTTTTTGGAGCTCCTTGACACGCTGACCTTTCCGTACTTTCCCCTTGTGGGATGCAGGCAGCCGTAGTACAAACACATAAACCCAATCCCGAGTACAAAACCCACAACGATGGAAATAACTATCGCTAGCATCCAGATTTCAGTGGTCATCAGTGTGCTAATGTGGCGCCAAGTCGTCTCACCTACAGCCACAACAATCTCTAAACACGTGAATAAGTAGTAGCAAATCACGTTCCTCCGAGTGGCATCTTTCTTTACGTTGAAGAAAGAAAAAATGAGAATGAAGCCGACGGTGCAGCGGTAGACAAACTCTTGGAAGCCAGTGTCCATGAATTCAGTCTCGTGAAAATAAACCGTCAGGGTCATCAAAACCCAAATGAGCACCCAGACAGGAATCACGTAATACCAGGGCCACAGCACGGTGAGGAGGCAGAGTGTGAGCAATTGGGATAAAAGCAAAAAGTACTTGGACGATAAGAACACAACGAAGGCTAAGCTTAACAGTTTCAGCTTTTCCTTGTTCTCGAGAGAATTCCGCAAGGTCATGTGATAGTCCAACAAGGTCCAGGCAATGGCTATTGAAGACGCCACTATAGTGATACCTGAAGAATGGCACACACAAATAGAGGGTTAGTTTCTTTATACAAAAAAGCCAGCATGCCTTAGCCCATATCTCCCAGAATGCACCCAATATCATCAAAGCTCAGCAGCTAAGCGGTGTTTCGTTACTCATGACACTTGCTTACTCGGCAAAGCTCCGTGACTGTTACAGGAGGGACTTGCCAAGTTTTCACAGCATGGGACAATTATTGCTACGTAAAGTCAAAATAAGTAATTTAAATTATTCTAATTTTGCACCGTGACGCAGGCACACAACGACCTACTCTTTCAAATGACATCACAGGATCTTTAACGTCCACTATATGTTCATGATTTATAGATCCCGCAGTCTTACCCAGGGCATCCACTGGAATCGAACCGTGAATCTCTGCAACAAAGCGGTGAATGCGCCACCGCTAGGCCACGTCAATGCCCAGGGCCCATCCTGGATCACGCTTGGATGGGGAGACTACCATGCGTGAAACAGGTGCCATCGGCAGCGAGGCTAAGTTGCCCCTCCGATTAGCACGGTTGGTTACGTACGGTGACGAAAGAAGTTCAACATACATACATTAATATTCTATGTTTATATCCAACCACAACCTACGATTACCACGGTTGCCTATGTATGGTGCGAAAGAAGTTCAACATACAGGACATACATGTTGCACTGTATAAATCAAGTATTTTTTTTATCAGTCTTTACAAAACACATTATTATGGATTGAATGCATTTAGTTCACCATGCTTGCTGAACTTCCAATTCGATTGTCTGCTCGAATAAATTATGTTTATGTTAGTGGAAAGGGTTTGGAATAGGATTAGACATACAGAATTAATATCTCCTTTAAAAACATTCATCACACTCATCACTAGGAATACCTCTGGTGTATGATCAGCTGTTAATGCTATGCTCGGATAATTTGTGAAGGCCAGTTGAAGCAGAGCTACATATGTCAATGTCATAATACTGCAGCCCAATGTCTAATCTACTCAAATTTGTTGTTGGCAATAAAGGTATCCCATGACATTGCTGTCACCCCGAGCTATAAATGCTCTGAAACGTGCATTGCCTTTTTGTTGTTCGCCTTTTGGCAATCTGTGGTCTGACACTGATGGGACATGGGCCATGAAGAAAGCTGTCGCTGGTGTAGGGCAATCAGTTTCAAAGACAATATAATTATTATCAGAGCATGTTTGTTTGCATGTTCACCAGAAGCACGTGTCGTTACTGCAGACTTCATTGCTGGCGAAAGGTTTCTCTTTGGTGTTTGAACATCTTAACACAACTGTTGTATTGCCAGAAAGGGTAAAACCTATTCCGAATTAAATTGTAATTCAACAATATCAATGTTGCATGTCCACGCACCATACAAGTTCCAATTTAACGTGCACAAGTGATTTGAGTGCTGGATGCACATCATTTTTTGGGAAGTTACATATGGTACGTTTTTTTTCTGTCCAAATAGCACACCCGTGCAGACATGCTGGCGAGTTCATTGAGAATGCATATTGATAAACCTGTATTTCAAGTGTCATGTGACGTTTCTGTCATCGTTATTTTGGTAGAAAAAGTTTTTAAAAAAACATCCCTGTTGTACAACAAAAAAATATGTAACGTTTTTTTTATAAACTAGCAGTCAAAATTTCTGAGATGCATTTCGTGAAGAGAGCAGATGTAGCTGTATTGGAATGGAAGAAAACGCTACACGTCAGCAAATAGTTTGCAGGTCATGAGCCGTCCGGAGCATTACCGTGCAATGCGGAAAGGACAGAACACGCAAGTCCGCTGCACGAACGCGATCTAATCCCAGGCGAGGGCCAGGGAGAGAGGATTTCACCACAGCGCCGTGACATCAAAACGTGGATTTCGCAAATGTGATTATGTGGCTGCGGTGGAAACCTTTTCTGGGAGGTTAATGCGGGTACAGTGGCGTAGTGGTTAGCGCACTGTACTACGGAACAAGTGGCATCTGAACCGCTCCTGGCCCTCCAACCCACAACTTCACCAACGGCACTCACCAGTGTGATCAAGTATAGTCAAACAAGCAGTGGACCAATGCCAAAATGTTGTTAAGAGGCCTTCATCCAGCAGTGGATTGACTAAGGGCTTTAGAAAAGAACGTGTATTTTTGTCTTCTTGGTTCTTTCGGTAAAGTCACGTAGAAGGGAAATAATAATGAGGACGGCTGCTTGCGTTGTGGCCGAAACGTCGTGAGAATTGTATTTTATTATGTAAAATTTGTATTATTTTATTATTTCCCTTCTACGTGACTTTACCGTCTACGTGACTTTACCGAAAGAAGCAAGAAGATGAATCCCTGCTGCAGTCACGAAAGAAGCTTCACATCGACAAGTTTGTTTTTGTATGGAGTAGCTTCTGCTTCTTTGGGAGAGTGAACGTAGTAGAACGCACCAGGAATAGCGCAGAATTCACCGTCACGTTCACCACATACACAATAGAATGTCCATGCCCCCAGGAGCGGAATTCATGATTCCATCAGCGGAATGGCAGATCATGAATTGCGGGAAACCTCTGCCACTCTGTGACCTGCCCCAAGCCCTCGTTACTTCGGCCCAATGTGCCCTGCTCGTTCAGGCAATGGCAGCATTAGGCACACGACGCAAAGCAGAATTATGAGCGCGAGACATTTCACGGACGCCGTTCTCGACGTTCGCCGGAGACTCACACTGGATGGAGTTGGGCTGACGTGTCAGCAGCACGATGTGGACCTGCAGGAGGAGCTGGGGAGTGCTCTCTAGCATGGTCTCGAACAGGCGCAGCATGGTCAGGTCAGCCTGGTGGTTGCACCAGCGTGTCAGCAGATCCCAGGTTCCGTCAGCTGCGTGCTTCCGATATGCCTTGACGCCCAGATAGATGAGGCACAGGGCCCTGCAACACAAGCAATGCCGCTGCTGTGTCTGGTCTTCTTTACTACAAATGCGTCGCTAAACCCGCCACCAACCGACACAGCCAATTAGTAAGGTTTGTCACGTAAACAGAACATGCCAATCCGTTACTAGTTCAACACACCGGTGTGTTGGAGAGTAAACCCAACAAAACTCTAATGGATAATATTGCTTGCGAAAGCCTACGTGTTAACACTGGTTTGCTTGGCCTGCACAGACGTAACCTTTTAGCTTGCACCGCGCTCCAGATAAACTGCATACTGGGTGTTTTTTTTACAATGCATGAAATGTATATGTGATGTTTACAATGAATGGCCAAATAATAAGCGCACGACAGAAAACAAGAGACGTATGCATGGTGAAGGATTGGTCACGTGATCCCAGGGGGGCCGTGAAAGGGAATTCGATAACGTGTACTGCCAAACCAAAGTGTGAAGTTTTTATTTCTTTTGGAATATAAATACTGTAATGTTTTTTTACTGGAAAGTGCACAATTGTTACCTTGAGAGAAGTGTAACAGGTCTGTCTTAAAAAAAATCAGTTATGGCATCATGACAAGCACTTAGTTGCGTGTTAATTTTGTTCAATAAATTAGTGCAGGAAATATTCATGAAAGTATTTTTAATATTTCATTTAACAATGACTTTGATCGGACGGAAAATACCAAGCGTGAAAATCACTAAGACTACTCAGCATCGCTATGAAGAGACAAAATCAATAAGTCTCAATGAAAAAGCAGACTAATATAGTTTAGTAACGTTACTAGAGACTGGATATTAAAAGAGGTGAATGATTATTAGCCGTAATCGAGGTTGTTGGGTTAGATCGCGTAAATATATAAATGTGTCGTTAAACCCGCCACAGCCAACTAGTAAGGATTGTCACGTAAACAGAACGTGCCAATTCGTCACTAGTACAGCACTAGTGTGTAGTGTATAGTGTAGTGTATAGTAGTGTAGTATATAGTAGTGTAGTGTATAGTAGTGTAGTGTATAGTAGTGTAGTGTATAGTGTAGTGTACTAGTACAGCACTAGTGTATAGTGTAGTGTATAGTGTAGTGTACTAGTACAGCAACACCGGTGTATTGGAGAGCCAAGCCACAAAATTTACAATCTGAGTACGACGTTTCGCCAGTAATTACAACCAGCTTCATCAGACGACAGCCAGATTCGTGGAGAAGTCTTCCTGTTTCGTTCCTTATATAGAGGCGTAGATGTGTTGACCACCCTTCTGCACTCTTGCACAATGTGGGGGGGAGGGGGGATTGGTTGCGAAAGCCTACGTGTTAAACTGATTATTAGCCGACTTTATATTGGGATGGGACAGAGAATATGCACTCCTCTCACCAACATTTAATAACTGAGAGTGGACTAAATTATCCACTTCTTTAGTCGACTTGACTAAGGGAATGGCTTGAACTGAAATTCCGCAGGTCGTTGTCGACTCTAAGAAGGCTATGGTAAAAAAAAAATGCTGACTAAATGAACACCATTGTTGTCAGCCATGGAATATCATGGCCACCCGGTGTGCCTGTGTGTACCAACCTCCGTACCTCATGAACAAACCCATCTGCAACACGTGCACAATGGAGAGAATCCACTTATTCCCGGTGACACAACGGAAGGCAGGCACCTCCTCACACATCTGCAGCCACCACGTTGTCTCATTCTTCTTGTCGCTCACGAACCACGCGTAACTGTAGAACTGGACGACGACGCTGGGAAGGATGATCAAGGAGATTGTGAGGCCGAAATTCAGTTCCTCCCCTCGGTGCAGGTAATTCCAGGCCAAAAGCAAGTCGGTGCAGATGTCAAAAACGAGCATTCCGAGTGATACCCCCGTGGTGGCTAACTCCACTCCAAATCTGCAGCGCGTCCATTGCTCATTCCTGGGCCCCTGATCCATGCTGCACCTCCACGTGGCTGGGGTGGCTAGGGGTGAGAGAGAGAGAGGGGGCGGGGGCATTACAACATAGGCCTTCACGGTGATAGTAATGCAATGTGATTTGAATTTTTGTATAGTGTCTAAATGCAACCGCAGCATTATAATACGCTGCACTGAGACAGTGGGAATATTCATTTTTATAGAGATGAGTGGTTGGAGCCTGGACCCGAACAGGACCAAATCACAGATCTCAGAAGCTAAGCAGGTTTGATCCTGCATAACGTTGTTGATGGGCGACCATCATGCACAGCGGGTATTGTCGATATCAGGCAGCCACTGGAGGTATGCACTTTTTTAAAATCTAGATTGAAAACTCATATCCTGATAAATGCTTTTTTTGTCTTTAATTTGTTGTCATTCTCCCTGCACCTCCGATTAGCACGGTTGTCTACGTACGGTGCGAAGGAAGTTCAATAAAAGGCAACGAACGATCAGCAACTCTCTCGTGTGCTTGGCAACTGCCTCAAGACCTCTCCTGCACGCTGCACATCAGACACCGGAATTGTGCAACTTTGGGGGAGCAGTATTGACGGGGAATGCTTCTGCTTACAATGCCGTACAGTATACTCGTGTAGGATTACAACTCAGAATAAAAGATTGCTGCACAGATTGCGTGCTTCCATGAGCATTGTGTATGTGCGTAGAGGGTGAACACTTCCGCACCAACATGGACAGATCTTTGTCTATCCACTGCTAGATGAAGAAGGCCTTGGATTGTGTGCTGGCCATGCGGGTGGATGTTTTGAACCAAGGCCGTAGCCATGGAGTCAACATTGGGGGGGACCAAATTTTCCAGGGGGTCTGGGGGTCCCCCCCAGAAAAAAAAATCTAGATTTGAAAACGAATTTCCTGCCATTTCCTGCCTAACACCGCGGATGGACTTTTTATTTATTTTTTACAATAATGTATAATAGTGTATTGTATTACATTGCTCTGTTTTTTCTTTTTTACATTTTCTTGTTTCATTGTATGTAATGGCAGAGATTAGGGATTAATAAAGTACAACTATAACCACAATCATATAAACGGAAATCTATTTTATATCAAGAAATTGGGGGGGACATTTTGAGCATATTTTAATATTTATTATAATTCCGGCCTTGGTTTGAACATACTTCACCACGCAGGTCACAGCGGGTTGGTGGATGAACACAGGGGGGTGGGTCACAGGAGTGCAGTACAACAATGGATTGTGGTTCCGCAGTAGCCTATAACAAGAACTCGCCATCCAGTGCTCTCAGCTGCATCCAATTGTTCTTGTACCGATGATTTGTTACAAGCGAGAACGTGATATTATTGAGTCTCTTGTTTTCCCATTACGTGTCCAAGAAATGCAACTTGACTCTCTCTAATTATGCTAACTTTCTTGTTGTGTACACCCCGTCCGTAATAAATGTACATTATGCTGCATCTCGTCTGCCCATGCAATGTTTAACATCCATCTTTTTTAAAAAACACACACATCTGTTACTTAAATACAAATGTGGTTAAAATGACTTGTTGGCTTTGTGTTTAAAAATATCGCTTATAACAAGAATCAAAATGATTTGAAGCTTTCGTGACTGCAGGAATCCATACTTTTTGGTTCTTTCGGTAAAGTCACGTAGGTAGAAAAAATATATATACAGCGTATATTTTGACAGGATCATACCTGTCAACCCCTTATCGGTGCCTACTTATTACAGACCAACGGAGACCTCAGTGGTCACCCCGTGGCCCTTTTAAATCTCAACATTCATCCCACAACGTCCCATCACAAGGGAGAAACACATATAGACCAAAACAAAATAGTTTCCGCCGTATGGATCCGAACAACTCAAATTTCCGAGTACAAGAAGAACACGGGGTTCAACAAACCCCACGGGGTCGTGACACGCTACCCAGAATGACCTCGGGCTCGCTGTGGGTACTCGATGGGAGCCGAACAAAAGCTCGGAAACCCCTTCCTCGCTACCTTCTTTCTCGACGAGATCTTTTTTTTTGTCTTCAGAGACGTTGGGCGAGCTCGCGATCTTCCCCCACGTTCACTTTCGTTGCGTCTCCCAAGTTCATGTCGACAGCGGTCCAGCACACACGTCCCGAGCTCCGTGTCCCATGGGAGAGACCATTCGTGTGTAGCACGTGGCGATGAGCTCGGCGCTGTTGGTAAAACGAAACAGAGTTGAGCGCCTGTCACGCATTGACGTTCGTCAAATATCGTTTACACGAAACCAAGACCCACACGAGTGTAGCACGAGCAGACTGTCGGGGCAAGTGCTGTTAGCGGGCACCTCCGGAAGGCCGGCACGAACCCCGGCCGCCTTTGTCTCCCCCAGCGGCGATGTTTACACACACCGCACCAGGTGCTTATTTTGAGGCTGAGTCGACCTAGGGGAGGCCCAGGTACCGGTTTAGATAATCGTCACTGGGTGTTGGCCGTGAGCGGGAATGGAACCCGGATGACCGGGTTCGTAGCGCAGCGCAGCGCTAACCGCTCCACCACCGCTCCCCACGTGTAGTTTACACACACACATACACACACACATACACACACAAACACGCGCACATACACATACACACACGTGCAAATGATGATGGCTGTTATAAAAATACTAATACCGTCTGCGGGTGTTAAAGCGAGCGATAGTTGCTGTTACTTAACCAAGGCAGAGGAAATCAGGAAGGGAAATCAGGAAGCACGGTGGTTTCGATTTGCCACTGGCGTGTACACACACAGAGCACACATGCCGCACTTACTGTAAACGCAACGCACGCGCTGCCAAATTCTGCTTGCTGTTGCTGGTGTCGGCCCATAGGGGTGACGAGTGGCCCAAGCGAACACAACTCGCAGTCGACAGATGTCGCTAGAGACGCCTGGGAAAATTAGAAGCAATATTTAAAAAAACTTTTTTTTAAACACGCTTTTATGAAATGTACGAGTAATAACTCCACGACTCCAGGAAGTGGCCCCGAAGCTTGCCACAACGTAAGGTGCCGTGGCCAATTACAACCCAATGTCAGTTAACCGTGGGCAATTAGACCCAAGCCGAAACTTAACATCTAAAAAATAATGTTTAAAAATATATTTCTTATTGTTTATGATAAAGTATAGTATTGTCATCAGTATGACATAAGTATACCCAGTTTGCAGTCGATACCACATTGGGAAGTGGGTCAAAATTGAGTTACAAGATTTGAGGATACAACAACGACAACAACAGACAGAGTGAGTTAAATAAAAGCGTGTAGTAATAATAGTAAAACGTGATCAATTGCAGCAGCAAACTCGGGTTTCATGTGTGTCGACAAGAACGTCGTTCGCTCAGCAACGTTTGTAAATGTGTGGGTGCTCTACCACACCTCACCGAAGACGTCTGGCCCGCGTGGAAGAGTAGGCCAAACACCCTCTCTAGAGTGGGCTTTCAGAGCTCTCTCGAGCGTACACAACTGACCATTGAGATTTCGTTTCACCATAAGAGCGATTCATTTTGTGTGCGCAAACGTGGAACTCTGGGTTAACTCAGCCTCAATGAGTAACCGGGTGCGTTGTCTAAAACATCGCCACTAGGGAGACAAAGGCGGTCAGGCGTGGTGCTGGCCACCCACCCCCTCGTGTGCCGTGCCGGCCTTCGTAGGTGCTCGCTGACAGCACTTGCCCCTAAAGTGTGTTAAGGCTATACGGGGGATCTTTGCATGGGTGGATTATGGGGGGGGGGCGTTGGGGCAACCCCCCCGCCCAAACTGAACACCTTAATTAAATTATTTTCAGTAGTTTACCATTCAGATTAACTATTTTAGATTATTCAAATGCACCCGCGATTCCTAATGCGAAGGACAAAGCGAACCCCCTTTGCCACACCGCCAAATATAAGAAGTCAAACTCCGCCTATGGGTCTTTATCTTTGAACATAATTTCTGCGTTGCAGTTTGTTGGGTGATTTTTCAGGGCGGCACATCAGCGGGCAGTGGGTGTAGTGACGAAGCGAGCGAGCCCGTGTGATGGCATCCTTGTAAATTGCAGCACCGCCAAGAATACGCAAGAATAAAACTGAAGTGCAGTGAAGCTCATCTCAATGGAAGAAGTTGTTCGACATACCGTAGACGCCAGACGTTGCGTTTCCCTGACGAGTGGAGTTCACAAAGACATCACCGACACCTCGGGCAAGACCCGACGCACGCAGAAGATTCCCCTTGGGTTCCATCTCCCTCGACGGCTCACGGGCACAAAGCATGTGGCAGCAAATGAGAATACTTGATGGACAAATGGAACATTTAAAAAAACAAACCCTCCGTGGCTGAATTTCGATTTAAAGCTTTCGTGACTGCAGGGATTCATCTTCTTGGTTCTTTCGGTAAAGTCACGTAGAAGGGAAATAATAAAATAATACAAATAAAACATAATACAATAAAATGCTCACGACGTTTCGGCCACAACGCAAGCAGCCGTCCTCGGGTGAAGAACAGAGCTGTCGGAAAGGCAGCGTCCGAATGAACACCGCCAAGCCTGGCAGCGTATATATAAGCTGGGTTAGAGGAGGAGAGCGCCTTGACAAAGGAAGTTACATATCAACAGAGGAATTTAGCATATTTATGGAAAATGCAGATATGGGAATAGTCACTACTTGTGGAATGTGTAGGTGGTGGGGAGGTCTCAAAATCGTATTATGCTCGTGTATTATTTATGATTAGCAGTCATAAAGGGAGGAAGTAGGATTAGCATTAATAAAGGGAGGGAAATTTTAATAGTAAGGAGCTACAGCAGTTCGCATTAGAAGAAGTTACAGCAGCAGAGGTTAGTGTAAATGCGTGGCTGCTAGTGTGGTCACCCAGAGCAGTGACCTTGATGCACCATTCACGAATTAAGCAGGAAGAGGCGTCACGCAGCTGCTCCACTCCGCTGCTCCTGACGCAATCGCCTGGCTCAACCACTTCCATGTGACATCATCGTCGTCGTCGTAGTGGCTCGACGTCAACATCATCCATACGAAGAAGACTGCAATCAAGCAGAACGTTAACGAAGGGCTCCTCAATCAACTGCTGCATGGGCTGCTGGTTGGTCAAGGCGGGTAAGGCCCGTCTTCACGCGGTAACGTAGAAGTGCAGTACAATGAGTGGTAGTAATTGCATTTTGATCATAATCGTAGCAGGTTTTTTTCCCATTATGTTAGTGCGTTTGCTTGATGTCATAATATAAGTGACGAGTGGCACGGAAAAGTACTGTAGTCTGTTACGCAAGCAGCCACGAGTTTGCATATATTGCCGCACAGTAACACCGCACGTCTGGAATTACTTTTCCTCCGACCATTCGTGCTGCCAATACAATATTATCCCTGCCCAAGCCTGCACAATAATTATCATGTAGCGTCTGAATGATGAAAGCACCTGAAGACTTTGAAGAGCGTAAGGAGAATATAATCGTTAACAGCACCCACAACGAGCCTTCTTCAACCACTGGAACCGCACGCAGATGTTGACTTTTGTGCATTTCTCTCGTCGAGTTCCACGTGTCCTGGTTTGCCATGGGCCCCCTGCCCGGCGTCGCCAGTAATGAGATGGTGCCGCATGGCCCAATTGACCCCCACGACCCGCGCGGCGATGTTGACCGTCGGATGCCGCACGAGATTCCAACTTTCTTTCCCTGTCGCCGTGAGAATGTCGAGTGAGCGAGAAGTCCCCATTGTCGTAGCTCTTGGTCCATGGATGGTTGAAGATATTGCCGTGATTTGAATTATCCTGGAATTGTGAAATATTTAACAAAAAACACAAAGTTGTTTCTCTTTACAGTTTTATGACTGAAACATAACGACTGTCCCTCTGTCTCTCGTGGCTAACACTGTCCCTTGTGATGCTAATAAGCAATGCTGTTTCTCGGTGATTCTCCGCAATGCGCGTGTCTCGCTGGGTTGTTTTTGGTGCTGCTGAGACGAACAATGGGGAGGTCTTACGCTGCTGTACAACAGTTTTGTTTTGTTGCGGTTGCACCCGAGTCAAGAGCCGCATGGCTCACAGGGTTATCTCCATATACATAAAAGGCAAAGCTGTGATTATGTGTGTCTGTTCAAAATGTTTAGCGTACTTCCCGACATGCAACAAACTGGAAATTTGCCATGTGGGTACTTTCCAGACTGTACAGCATGCAACAATTATAAAAATACACTTTTTGGAGGGGGGGGAGCTCAATAATGCAGATATTGTTTGCACAAGTGAGCTGTGACGTCACATCTGTCACGTGACCCGCGCACGTGGAAGCGTAACGCGTTGTAGTGTAGCGGGTAGCGCGCCGCGCTACGAACCCGGCGACCCGAGTTCGATTCCCGCTCACGGCCACCACCGGTGACGATTATTTCAACCGCTCCTGGGCCTCCCCTAGGTCGACTCAGCCTCAAACAAGTAACTGGTGTGGTGTGTGAACATCGCCACTGGGGAGACAAAGGCGGCTGGGTGTGGTGAATCCAAGTCCCGGGAGAAGCCGGGGTAGTACAGCTCGTACCTAATAAATGAAACTGAAGCCACCACCGATCAGGTTGTTACATTTAGCGCCCTCTAGCGGCTGCGGGTATCACTTGGAACCCCTCGACAGTTCACACACCGTGTGCCAGTCGAGGGGTGGTGAACGTCGCGGTTTGGTGTGATTTAGAACAGTGGTTCTTCACCTTTACTGCTGCCCTTTGGTTCTCAATCGTAAAAAAAAAGTGTAATGTTCATAAATGCGGAGGTATAATGAAACAATGCAGTTGTTCTTACGTGCCCGTGCTTTGCGTTTCGTTTCTAAAACAAACTGCCCACGTCTCGCACCCCCAGAAAGGGCATCTCGCACCCCCAGGGGGTCCAGCGTGCACCCCCCCGGGTTAAGAAGAAGAGCCACTGCTTTAGGAGCAGGCGACATGACGCCTATTCAACCAGCACAGCGCTCATCTAGAACCAGCAGAGGGAGCATTGAGAACCAGGCTACCCGAGTTCGATTTTCGACCACGACCAACAACATACACCAGTGCATGGCGAGTGATGCCTGAGCCATTCCCTTGTTAGGGGCCGTCCATAAATTACGTCACGCTATTTTGAACGATTTTTGACCCCCCGCCCTCCCCCTCGTCACAAAAAGTCAAACCCCCCCTCAAATATGACGTCACAAAGCTCTGCCCCCCCACCCACCAAAAAGAAATAAAACATGCTTCAAATCGCTTTAAACTATTGTCATTGTAGTGCGTATTTAATGTGGCGCTGCACTCTGATGTTGTAGGAGAAAACATTTATTAAAAAGTCTATTTAATTAAGTAGAACGTGTTGTCTATACCTACTTAAGGTTGCGCATTTTGATGTGACGTCACATTTCTCAACCCCCCCCCACCTCGTCAAACATCGTCACAAATGTCTGACTCCCCCCCCCTAGGTGCGTGACGTCATTTATGGACGGCCCCTTATCCCGCACTGAAGAGCGTGGTGAAGTATGCTCAAACAGCACCCATGACTCATGAACCAGGTGTATGGGATACCGTCATATGGCAGTGGATTGATATTTTGTAATAATTAATTTGACTCACTGAAACATTAACAATGTGCATGTATACCTACTTAGATAACCGTGTTGTTTAGCCGGTTAACCGATGAATCGATGCTTTGTTACACAGAAGGAATTGTTCAAAGCTGGCAATGAAAGGCATGATGATTATACCGCTGGCGAATTTTTTTACGTATTAAAAGTTCGGAAATGTGAACATCTGTATATAATGACAATTACGCCATGCACTAATTCTGCACCACTCTGTGTGGGCGACTCTGAGTTGAGGGCGGATATGTGACGGTCGGATCTGCGGCGTTGTACTGTTACGTGTTATGTAACTGTCTTTTCACTCCCAGTGAGTGAGCGAGGTGTTCAATTATTTTAAAAAAAATATATAGCAGATTTTTTTTGGACTGTAACTTTAAGTGCTATACCAGAGGATAACCCTTTTAAACCGTGCAGATTATAGTGGCTGAGTAAATGGATGGTTGATAAAATTCCTGTGAATCAAAATTTCCGAAAGTTCTTACAACGGAAAATATGTATACTGTATTACATTCATACTATTTGGGTCATTCGGTAAAGTCACGTAGATAGAAAAATAATAAATGTGTTACATTTATCACTGAGAGATTTATTCTGTATGGTGAACACGTTTTGAGATTCTTAGCGTTACGAGCCGCACATCCAGTGCCGCACTTTTTTAGACAAATACTGATAACTGTCTTCTTGGTTCTTTCAGTAAAGTCACGTAGAAGGGAAGTAATAAAATAATAAAAAATAAAACATAATAATATAATTCTCACGACGTTTCGGCCACAACGCAAGCAGCCGTCCTCAGGTGAAGAAGGACAGCTGCTTGCATTGTGGCCGAAACGTCGTGAGAATTATTTTATTATGTTTTATTTTTATTATTTTATTACTTCCCTTCTACGTGACTTTACCGAAAGAACCAAGAAGATGAATCCCTGCAGTCACGAAAGCTTTAAATCGAAAGATACTGCTGACTGGTAATGGGATTAGTCTGCTTTCTCTCGGCTGTAGCGTCACACTCCACTTATGGCGAATGGCCTGATTCACTAATGATGGGGAACGTCTATCTTTTAAGTATTTAACACGATACTTAAAGTAATGTGGAACGTTTAGGCTGGCCTTGTCCATTTTCCGGGTCCCAAACGTAAAATGATAGTTTTATTTCTAATTATTAGCACATGGACTATACAGTATTTGTGTCAAATGTAATATCTCTCTAGCCTTTACAGAAAATAATTAGAATTTCTATTAGTCTGGGTTGACCGTCGTCAATGCATAATTGGAAGATGCACTGATAGGAAAATTCATAACATGACTTGTTTACATTAACTGCTCATATGTCTATCGTCATTAATTCACATCACTTTGTAATTGCATCGCCGTATCGTCATTTGAGTTGTTGCAGCACTCCAGTAACTGCACAGCGTGGATCTCCGTGGGTTTGTTGAGGTTTGGCCCAGGAACGGCTCAGATATCTCTGCAGTCCGCGCTCAAATTAGTGGGTGGTGGTGCTGCTGCTGCTGCGTTGGCAGTGGTGCACAAGTACAAACAGAAACTTCACGTTCGGTCAATAACACCGCGGTATTAAAATGTAAATATATATATAATCGGCGACGTATCAAGCAATGGGCCTTCTTTAGAGCACTGCATCGTGCGCTTTCAGGAGCGCTTCTATGGCCGTCTGGAACGCTCTTCGTTCCGATATTAGGAAGCCGCCGGAACTATGCACTTTTAAATCGTCTAGATTGAAAACTCGTTTCTTTAGAACTGCTTTTTGTGTTCAGTTTATTGTCCTTCCCCCGCACTTCCGATTAGCACGTTTGGCTACGTACGGTACGAAAGAAGTTCAACAAACAGTACAGCACACTGTTGACGCATAGCCGTGGCCGGGATTCTAACTCCACAACAATGTCTATTATGCGCTAACACTATTTACATGATCTATGCATTAACAGTGGAGTTATAATAAACGTACCATTATGTTAATTAACTTTTTGGTTCTTTCGGTAAAGTCACGTAGGTAGAACAAATAATAATAGATCACTACGTTTCGATCGCAACACACCTGATGACGATTGCGTGTGTTGCGATCGAAACGTCGTGATCTATTATTTTTTCTACCTACGTGACTTTACCGAAAGAACCAAAGAGTATGGATTCCTGCAGTCACGGAAGCTTCAAATAATTATGTTCATATATGTTTGTTTTCCATTCGAGTTTTCCTACCGTGTGTTGTGAGTCCTACTTGAGTGCACTGCGCTATATAGACACGGGGTCGATTCCAGACCACGAACATGCAGTGGAAACCTCATCCCTGATCCTGATGTGAGCCTCCCCGAGCTCGACACGTCCTTTAATAACGAGCATCTGGCGCTCGCTGAAAGCGCTTGTACTTGGAAGACAAAGGCGGCCGGGCGTTGTACAGTATTGGTCAAGCGTGCATGATGCTGACCCAACAACCCTGGGGCTTAATTGGTGCACCCCAACAGCACTTGCTCCAAATGGCCCAAAGCTCTTAAACGTTCGATCTTTGCCTCTGCGTGTGCACGTGTGTATATCTATCGAGTAGAAAGTCCCTAGATCGGCCTCTACGTGGTGCTCGTTAAAATGTTACTTGATGCCCGCAAGATGAGGGCATTAGCGATCGTAAAGGAAACTATGTCTGCCCGCTCACTCCCACTCGGAAAAGACCACGTGGCGTGATCTTCGGTGAAGTGATGGGCTTCAGAAAGGCCCTGCACATTTGTTTTTGCCCCGCAAGGCTTTGCATGCTGAACACAAGGTATATATAAAGCTGTGGATCTGATGTGCCTGCATGGTTACCCGTGATTGACGGCACTGCTGCGCTGTTGAAGAGCAGACGCGTTAGGAACAGCTTCCAAAGCATTGCAAAGTGATCAGCCAGCGGCATTTGTATCGGTAGACTCGCAAGACACAAATTACTCGTCTAAACATCACGTGATCATCTATGCATGTTGAACTATGCACGTTCGTAAATTAACGTATGTGGTTCTTTTTTATGAAACCATACGGTGTAGTACGTGTGTGCGTGTGCAATATTTCACATTACGCGGTATACTTTTTACAATTACTTTGCATTTCACGTATCGCGACCGTGGCTTGTAAAGTATGTTTGAAGGACAACCCTGAGGCTGCACCCATCTCAGGCCTATACAAGACATTGTCTCAGTAGCTCTCTCTCTCTCTCACCTGAAGACGGTCGCTTGTGTTAGTGATCGAAACGTCGTGATCTATTAATTTTCTATCTACGTGACTTTACCGAAAGAACCAAAGAGTATGGACAACGTGTACTATTACTGCCAAAGCCTATTTTTAAATCCTTTATATTAAGTTCACTTGTTAAATCCTTTATATTAAGTTCACTTGCTTGCTTGCTTAGGACCGTGCAAATCTTTCAGTCGTTTTTTAACCCACTTCCCGTGATCCAATCGAGCTGACATTTTCCACACATACTCGTTGTGCGTGACAATTAATGTTCGTGAAATTTTTTGTTCCAAAATTCTACACTTTTTAGGACAAAAATATTATATTTAATTACCAATTGCTTAATGCTGCCATGCAATCATCTGACCCATAGGTGGCAGCCATCTCAAGCCAGAGAACGAGAGGACTCTAGCCGACACGCATATAAAGGATCTATAGTGAAAAACTTAGTTTTTACGGGTTATACTTGTTAATGCATGCATTGAACACACACAGCGTTAAAGACAACCCACGGGTGTGGGATCGTGTGCGACTGGCCATGCAGCCCAGACTACTGACCACGTGTAGTAAACCCACTGTGGTTTTGCGCTCCTCCAACGGAGGAGGAATCGCAAAACGACACGAACTCTCCGCTCTCCTGCAGCCCTCTCGTCGCTTGCAGATATCCACGACGGCATTCATCTCCCGGACAGATTGCTGCCATCATACGCGAGTGCTGTCTATAATACAGACGGCATGTTGCCAATCCACTGCGGGATGAACACTTCCACTTACTCACCCCGCGTGTCGGTCGCTCTCGGGGTAAGGTTGTTCGATCAAGCTTCTGCACGCTGATCAGTGCGAATGGATGTATTATTGAACGTAACGACCCCCCCCCCCCCCCAATCTTCGATGTAGATTGATAAAAAGCACGTGGTACGCGAGTGTGTTACGTGAGTGCGTTCGCGAAATAACCAGTCACACAGAGGCTACTCAAAACAAGCCAGGCCCGCCTTTATTTCGTATCGTCTTTTGTGAAATCTACACACAAAGAAGGGATGATGAAAGTGTCAATTCATATTTGAAGAAAAAAAAGCATAACATCAGACGTACACAAACACATGTGATAAGGTGTGAGCAACTCGCAAAGAACACTTTCGTAGATTAATCGATCACCGAAGGCAAATTATTATTATTCGAGTTACGCCCTTGCTTCTGTACACGAGTATATGTACAAGCTTGAAGGACTTGTACAGCATGAGCGCTCAGATGCGTACCCCGTCTTATCTCACAGTGGCACGACGCGTTGTATAGATGCTGTGATACATGTCATTAATAATTCGGTATATACAGGGCAATCCATTTATAGGCACTCCACTAATTCCGCATATCGTTCTTGTCAAAAGCTGATTGAATCTTGTGTAGGTGACGGCTCCCTTTCTCACAGAGGACATTGTTAATATATATATTTCAAACGTTTATTTAGATTTGTAGGAGTCGTGTAGAGTTTTTCAAATAAAATGTTGTTTTCTCGATAGTGTCTTGCTGGTAGTTTAGTGGAGCTGACTATAAATGGATTGGTGGCCCACAAAGTCAGGATACGTAGGGTTATTTAATTTATTTTAACACTGACATTAAGACATTTCAATTGTTTATTATTAAAAGTTAAAATGGTATATATTATCATTATTAATATCGATTCTTCTTCTTCCTGTGGGGTCACCTTAAATTCATTGTTTACAAAACTCCACCAAGAACCATGAACGAATTGAGACAAATTGAAGAATGTTCACAGATTACACCTGTCCTACATTCATCTGAAAATATCATTCTTGTATGCATTAATGTTATTGCAAGTGAGTTTGAACATTGATTTTTAAAAATGACCCTGTTATTTGTTAAACTAAATATAACCCCGTGTGTCCTAACTTTTAGGCCACCCTGTATATACCAAGCTTAACACAGAGATTGCCATTTTCAATATGTTGCCTTCACCAAAGCATGGGTCTCGAACGTTAAAAAACAAATCTACAGACACTGGCTCATATGCAATATATATTGTCTTTATGAAGAACAAAAATCCACATTTTCATCAGTAAAGGCAATGCAAACATTGGGTTTAACAGCCTTTGTTGAATGAATTATGGCGACACGCCAAGTTATATGAAGGTTGTATGAATCCGAACGGACCAGGCAAACTTTGAAAGCTCTGAACCACCTCGCCCCAGCCTACAGCGTGGTCCAGATGTCTTGTGGCCCCAATTTAATTCACTGAAACTAAATACATATTCTAAGGAATATTTATTTCAGCGTATTCCTCTACTACTTCCTGTCCTCGTGCTTAAAACTTTAACCATCCTCTCCCTTCCCCTTCCTAACCTCCCTTTCCCTATCATCATCCTTCGAGCCATACCTTCCACTCCCCAACACTCAAACCCCATCCCCATTAGCCACCACTAATGTACAATTTATAACTATTGTAAAGCGCTTTAAAAAAAGCGCTATATAAAATCCTAGATAAGATTTAAAACAGAAATTAATATGCTAAAGGAAAAAAAAGTGTGAGGCTTTAATTAATTGGGGGGGGGGGGGGGTCACAAGAAATCTGTATCACCCTGTACATCAGGGACACGCTGTACCCACGTGCCGTCAAGGGTCTCTACGATGTGGGGATGCGGATCCTCTCCGCGTCCCTAGCTCGTAGAGGCTTCTCGGCTCGTTGGGGGTTGGCCCCCGTACTCTGGGGACCCTCTCTAATCCGCGACATCTCCAAGATCTCCGAGTAAAACACGACCGAAAACTTAGTTAGACACTTCCGTGTATTCAACTATTAGTTGGTTGAGATAATAGCGTTCAGCATTATTTTAGCATGATATATATTTTTTAGTTTCGTCAGCTATTTTTCATGCTGAGTGTTTGCTGTCGTGTCTTGTACAAAGCTTTGAGATACTCGATGAAAGGTGCCTTATAAATTGAATAATGATTATGTACATCATACTGATATGGTAATTGATACGTATAAAAAACTAGCAATAATACACAAGTGTTTGCTGCATATAAACTGACTCTTGCATACATTTTAGAAACATAGCGTACCGCTAAACTCTTCTCTGCCGGAAGCCAGCAGAGATACAACGCTGTATTTAAAAAAAAACCGTATGCGTTAAGTGCTTCGTCCCGCAAAGCATCGTTTTTCAAAGCTATGCTCTGTTCGTATCGTTGTCTTTGATTTTGACAACGATGATCGTGGTGGTGGTGGTGGTGCGGTGGGGATAGGCGGCGATGCCTTGATAATCACCATCGCAATAATCATCGTCATCTCACGGTTAAAATCTTGATCATCGTTACCGTCATCGCGCCCACCTTCGTCAAGATGAAGATCTTGATCATAATAATAATCATCATCATGACCATCATTGTCAAAATATCGAATGATCTTGATTATAGTCACCATCATATTAAGATAAAGTCTTGATCAGCATCGCCATCATCGTCATCATCATGTCAAGATGAAATCTACCTCGATGAGTAACGATGGGTCCCCGACGTCCCCAAAAGTAAAACATCTGAGACACGTGGACAAACTGGTGAAGCCTGCGGAAGGCGCCAATGTTTATTCCTCTGCTGCTGTTGCTGCTGCTGCTGATCCTGTGGCTGCTGCTGCTGATCCTGTAGCTGCTGCTGCTGATCCTGTAGCTGCTGCTGTTGCTGCTGCTTCTCTTGCCGCTCCTATTGCTCCCGCTGCTGCTGCTGACGACGACGACGGTGATGATGTTGATGCTGGAGTCGCTCTCTGAACGTCTCGTGGCGGCCCCCTGGGAGGGGAGCGAAGCCACTCATGCGAGCGAGGAGACGGGCGAGGCGCACATGCGGGAAGCGGATCCGGCGTCCTTCAGCTCGGAGTCGCCCTTGGCAGCGGCCAGGAAGGGCCACGTCTGCGAATCAGGCGAGCACGCGCGCGCACGCGGTAAGACATCCCCAGTTCGCCATTAACGCAATCGCCTAATATTCACAACGATGACATATGGTGTATACACGCCCGAACACTGGCATCATCGTCATCAACATCGTATACGGTCTATGCACTGCTGGATGACGATATTTCACCCTACACGTATATATGCACACATCCTACAGACTTGCTTCCCCGTTGCTCATCACAGCGATGTGAGAGATATCACGTGGACTGTCTAATCCTATCGGACCACTAAAACTGCGACGTGCATCGTGATCTTTTCACTTTTCAGAGGACTTTTTTTTATTACACCAACGAGAGAGAGTGTGTGTGTGTGTGTTACTTCAAGAGTGGTGTGACCTTGTGTGAAACTAACTCGGGCAGTATTTTATTCGCCAAGTGTAGAATTACGCGCGCTGCTGCGCGCAGCGGTCCTCTAGCACCTTCACCTCTGAGCACTCGGCGCAAAACACCGAGCCGCTTCAAAGCAAACATCGCTCAGCAGCCGCCGAGTACGATATCGCTCCTGGCATCGTGCAGGCACACTGCGCGGTGTGTGCGGCGCCCTCCGTCTATCTACTGACTGCTGGATCAAGGCGGGAGAGGTTTCCTGATCCACACTTCACCTCGCTGGTCGGCAGCGCAGGTTTTAGTGAAGTTAGAGGGGGCAGCCTAGGAATCGTGACGGATATCACTCGACAATCACGTTAGCCGTGGCCGGGAATCAAACTCATATGGCTGGGTTTCAAGTGCTGTGTGTGTAAATGAAAGAGAAACACAAATCTAGTATACTTAGAAATGGAATGTAACACAACAGAGAGTCGGATAACATAACAGTCAACACCCTACCTAACCTGTTATGTTATCCGACTCTCTGTTGTATTACATTCCATTTCTAAGTATACTAGATTTGTGTTTCTATTTCATTTACTACCTGATGATGATTGCTTGTGTTGCAATCGAAACGTCGTATGCTAGTATTTAATTTATTATTTTATCTTTATACGTGACTTTACCGAAAGAGCCAAAGAGTAATTCCTGCAGTCACGAAAGCTCAAAATTAAGATTGCGGTGTGTGTACCAATGCGAATATGCCACGCAAATTTTCAGTATAGTATAATTATGCGACGTAATGGCGCACAACAGATAAGACTTGTACATAAATAAACAAACTTTATCTGTCAACAGACGCATGTTCATTATTCCAATGGTTTACGACAGCTCCATAGCTGCCTTAAGCTGATGGATTTTGCGATGACACGTGGCAATGAAACAGCGGTTTTTTTACCAGGCCATACCCCTGCTGATGAAGCCAAGAAGTCGAAACCAGTTCGGAGTTTGTCTGCTTAAACACATGCTGATGTGACACATTGTGGTTTGAAAGGCCAATAGGCCGCATTATGTTTTATTTTATGTTTCCTACCAACAGTATATGATTACATATAATACATCATTTTTTTAAATACATGTTTTTTTCTTGGAAGATACTTTGTGTATTTTCTGTATATATATTTACGTGTGCACGTTTGTGACTCCATTGCAGGCCTACGTTGTGCAACGTGAAGACAAACATGCATATAACTGACTCATGCTAATAATATTTCGTTGAACGTATCTATATTTTAAGTTGAAAAGTGCACACGTAATAATGGAGAGGTGGGTGCTTGGCATTACACTGAAAGACGTGGAATAGTAACACATGGATTCGTGAATATAAAAACTAAACGATAAACTCAATCATTGCTTATTTTACCAGGTAAGGCCCACTCAGCTCTATAGCGATTTTGCAGAAGCGACCTGGCCACAAATGATAGCTCAACGAAGTGGCTTATCGTGTGGAAATGTATTGCAACCAAATATTCTAAACACGTGTTTCTAAATGTGGAGGTAAAAACCGGAATGCCCGGAGAGAAATCCACACGACCACGGACAGAACATGCGAAACTCCACATATACAGACGTGGGAATCGAACCCACGACCTCCCGTATACCAGGCGAGGTAGTTAACATCTCGCCACTGCCGCAGCCTTTAACATACGCAAAGTTAAAAACATCATACTGGCTGCTAAGCAAATAAAGTGGCGAGCAGGTGATGACCGGTGACCGAAACGAACGTCTTCTAAGTGTCATTCACAGGAGGGAACGCGTGCAGGCGCTCATGTGGGTCGTTGTATCGCAATACCTTGAGAGACGGTGGCAGATTTGGGGAGGTGTTTATCCAGCAGTGGATAAATCATGGCTGGCATTGATAGTGATTGAGTCACATCAAGTGCCGTGTAGCGTTTGGCTTAATATAAATACTATACAACCCCCAAAACAACCTGTACTAATACGATAAAGCGTCAATATGCATGCACGTCATATTCGAGCATTGCCTCGTCACTCTCCACAGAATGAACGTTTATGCTTCCCAATAAGCGGAATTGTACTCACATTATAAACCGATTTGTACGAGCATTACAGTAATGCATTCTCATTGTTACGAGTATTATTAACCGTGTTTTTGTACTTGGATGAATATTGCTCGCGAAAATGTGGACTGGGAGTGATTTTATTTTGAGATAGTTTACTTTTGCTCCACGTGATCATTTGAATACAAAACTCTAGTAAAGAATGGAATCGACAATGACCGCTTATCAAGTTTCTGATCGAGCGACCTCACACAACAATAATTATCTAAATACGTCGGTACAAACGTATAATTAAAACAGACTTTATTTTCCCCATTGCTGAAAGTTAATATCACCATACCTTCTGGCCTGATAAAAACAACGTTTTGTCATAATTCACAAAGACTACTTCACATTCAAGTAAGAATCACCAGCACAGCTGTACTTTCATAAGCGCTACAGGAAATTATATATGCTCATATATTGTTTTACTTAAGGACTACTTATGAACATTCTGCGTGATTGCATGCGTGATATCATGATCCGTTGCCTCCTACATTGCCATTTGACCACAGTCACTAATTATAAGACTGTCCTATATTAGAAAGGTGTGCATTCGAACAGCACGGGTGGAGCGGTGGCGCAGTGGTTAGCGCACTGCGCTATGATTGCCCGGCCACGACCAACATCAGTAGGCGTGTGACATCGGAAACCGGTCCTGGGCTATTCGCCTTCACCAACCCTGCACTGACCAGCGTGGTGAAGTATGACCAATCAACCACCACTGCGGGCCCGGGTCAGTGAAAGTGTCTACAGTCTACATTCGTGGTTTTTATTATTTTATTCACTTTATTTTTTCTTATTATTTTTCAATCTACGTGACTTTACCGAAAGAACCAAATAATATTATCTTCCTTCTCAAACGAGCGATGGGTCTGCCCTCATCTCCGTAAGCGGTACTAGGTGAGTGTTTGAAATTCCGCATTTTCATGGCGGGATAAATAATAATTATAAGAATAAATAATATAATAATAATTTACGTATGTATGTTGAACTTTTTCGGCACCTTTACGGAGCCAACCGTGCTAGTCGGAGGTGCCGGGGGAATGAACGCCTCGCGGAGTTTCAAGCCGCTTGTGCGAGAGGTTTCCTACATTGCAACTTGTTCGTTGTCATCTCTTTCGAGGAGCGTTTGTTTCTGTGCATAAGGGCAGCAGAGATCCCGGAGAAATCCAACAACGCAAAGGAATGCGATGACCTTCAAAAGGTCCGCCCACGGATAGGCTTCATGTGCTGCCATCTCCTGACCACCTCGCAGTTCTGGGGTTGGGGAGTGCCACTGGTCTCTACGTGATCCACCAACCCTTGCGATGATAACGCTGGTTCGTAAGCGTGCGCCAACACGCCCAGCACCCATCTCACACAGTTCACCGGAACATTCTAATGATGTCAAAGAAGAGCGATACAACTCACAATTCCCCATGAGTACAGTATTGTCCCAGCCTAGGTTTGTAACAAACAAACAATAATCTGAAATTCTAATTGTTAGAATTTGGCCTCTGAAATAACGACACAGATGTTGATTGGTTTCACAGATAGCGCAGGATCTGCTTAACTTACAGATCGCTTTACGTCTCGTGCCAACCACTTACAAACACATAAACATACCATCTCCTCCCCATTAGCGAGCCGAGACATTTGCAGCCCTTAAAGTGGGACGCTGAAATCGATGGCAAGCGGGCAAAGCTGCACCAAGTTACTACGGCTTATTGACCCCGAAATGCGCCTGATTGTCACATTTGGGAAGCTCAGTAGGGTTGCGTCTGGTTATCGCTTGCATGGCTGAACACCAACGCTTGCCAGGTGTTGCGCGCTGCGAGGTGGTGGCCAGCATACACGGCAGTCATGAGCGGCACCCCCTCGAATACGTCGTGAGTATTCTTTTCTTCCGGGGTATACTCCGCTTCTTTGCCGCACGACGCCAAATAAGAAGTCACGGTATTGGATAAACATTCGAATGTGGCACGAACCTCTCTAAAAAAGAGTCCTGAAGACTCTGTGAGGTGTCCCTGGATGAATCAGGTAGCGACGTAGCCGCATCGAGGATACGGATTTAGATTTAGAGGACGATTAATAGCCTCAGAAACTGAAAAGCTCCCCGTACACTTCAACCTCATCTTATCGAAATGTATATAGCGCCTAAACCATTCAAATACCCTGCAGCTGTTCCCGTGCGGTACAATGAGTACGCAGCACTGGCCTGAAAATGTCCATAAGAGAAAAAATTAACCCGTAAAAACAAAGTTTTTCACTATAAATCCTTTATATGCGTGGCATCGGTTTTATTTTATTATTCATTTATGTTTTTCTTGAGTAAGAGTTTCATTTTTATCACATTGGTATTTTAAATTAAATATGAAAAAAAATTCCTAAAAAGTGGAACATTTTTGAAAAAAAATATCACGAAAATAAATTGTCACGCACAACGAGTCTGTGTGCAAAATGTCAGCTCGATTGGATCACGGGAAGTGGGTTAAAAAACGACCGAAAGATTTGCACGGTCGTAAGCGCGCAAGCAAGCAAGCAAGTGAACTTAATATAAAGGATTTAAAAAGTGCATCGGCGCCCTGGGCAGACATCTGACGCAGTCACTCACCAGGTTGACCGGGTGCACGAATCCGTTCTGGTAGGTCTCGTCGGCCAGGATCTGCCGCAGGTGCCCGATGTAGCTGGAGGCGAGGCGCAGCGTGTCCAGCTTGGAGAGCTTCGTGTCCGCGGGCACCCAGGGAAGCGTGGTCTTGAGTCTGGAGAACGCCTTGCTGAGCACCCGCATGCGGGCCCGTTCCCTCGCGTTGGCCGCATTGCGTTGTCCGTGTTTGCCCTCGGAGAGGCCCTCTGCTCCGTCGTCGCCAGCGCCGCCACCACCACCAGCAGCAGAACCACCGCCGCCTCCTGCTCCTCGACCTCTGCGTCGACCCTGCGTGACTCGGCGTCGGCGTGTCGGCCTCATCTCCTTACTGCTGCTACTGCTGCCTCTGCTGCTGCTGCTGTTGCTGCTGCCGGGGCTGCAACCGCTTCCCTCTTCGGAGGTGAAGTCCAATTCGTCCACAGCGATGGTCGCCATTCCTCTGGCCGGGCGGCGTGGGTCGCTCTTCTTGCGCGCGTCTCGCGACCCGTAGCCTTCCAGATCGCGCAGCAGCTCGTCCGTGTCGCTTGTGGAACCCGTGGACATAGCCGGGGGCGTGTGGGGTGTGTGTGGGGTGTGGGGTGTGTGTGGGGTGTGAGTGGGGTGTGGGGTGTGAGTGGGGTGTGGGGTGTGAGTGGGGTGTGGGGTGTGAGTGGGCTGCGTGTGGGGTGTGGGGTGCGTGTGGGGTGGGGTGCGTGTGGGGTGTGTGAGTGGGGTGTGGGGTGTGTGTGGGGTGTGAGGTGTGGGGTGTGTGTGGGGTGTGGGGTGTGAGTGGGGTGTGGGTGCGTGTGGGGTGAGTGTGGGGTGTGTGGTGCGTGTTGGGTGTGGGGTTCGTTGTGTGTGAGTGTGGTGTGGGGTGTGTGTAGTGTGTGTCGTGTGCGTGTGGGATGTGGGGTGAGTGTGGGGTGAGTGGTGTGAGTGGGGTGAGTGGTGTGTGTGGTGTGTGAGTGTGGTGTGGGGTGTGTGTGGTGTGTGTCGTGTGCGTGTGGGATGTGAGGTCCGTGTGGGGTGTGGGGTGTGAGTGGGGTGTGTTTGTGTGAATGGTGTGTCTGAGTAGGATGAGTGGTGTGTGTTTGTGTTAGTGGTGTGTGTGAGAGCTAAGTGGTGTGTGTGTGTGTGCGGTGTGTGAGTGTGGTGTGTGTTGCCCTGTGGGCTCTTGCTCTACCAGGCTATACACGTGTTGAATAATACGGTGGCCTTCTGCCTAACCACACACTATATAGCGTGGTATATATCTAAATATCACTGCTGCAGTATTGATGTTTACGATGTTTATCGTACTGCCTATCCAGATTAGATACTGTCTTGTGTTATAGCCGTTAAAGTCCGGGCTAACTAAAGGCTATATAGTGTACTCTTATCCAGACTATGTGTAGTGTTGTAATTATACGTAAATTCCCAGTAAAAAAAGTGTACTATATATACTGTCAGACTTTAGTGTTCTAGCAAATAATAAAAATCTACGTAGTGTATTATATATATATATATGTAGAGTTATATATTTATACTATCGCATCTATCCAGCTTAGCACCTATCCAGAATACACCGTCTTATTTGAGAGGTACGAGGGTGTGTACCGTCACATCTACGCTGGCTAAGTACGGATTGCAATGTCAGACAAGGCTCACTCTCTCTATATAATGCCATCAATTCCTACCCACGCAGACTGCAGCGTGTAAGGTCTACCCTCCCGTGTGCGTCTTGCAGGCTCCGGGTCTGAAGAAGAATTTCTTGTAATCGTGACTCCCCTTCCCTTCGTTGTGCCGTTGACTGGGAACCCAGATCCCCCCCCCCACACACACACAGCCGTGAAATGATGCAAGAGGGGGGGGTATATGAGGGTGGCTGCTGCCTGCGTCAGAGTTAGTTGGGTGGTCACTTTCCCATGGATATTGATTGACGCCGGGCTAGAGCAGCTGAACTCCAAGTCCTCCCTCCCGCCTCTCACTTTATCTTGTGCGTGGACTATACCAAGTGGGACATATGCAACGTGCTGTTAAAAACGAAAGTTTGTTTTCAGGTACGGTCCACTGAGCTATACAGATTTGTTTTCTTTTCAGGAAGCGACCTGGACACAAATGATAGCTCAACGAAGTGGCTTATCACGTGGGAATGTACTGCAGCCAACTACTCTAAACGCGTGTGTCTAAATGTGGAGAGGGGGGGCTGAGAAAAGCGTGGTGTTGGTGGGACACCCGGATCATCGTAATGATTTACACTGCCATGTATTGTACAGCTCTCTCATTGTCAATCCACTGCTGGACGAGGGGCCTCACTTAAACCGTGTGGGCCATGTGTGATTTGCTTTTGCCACACCTCACTCAGCACGCTGTTCGCTGTAGTGGTGAACCTAAGCTATTAAAAATACGTTCAAGTATGAACCCACGATCGATTCCGATATCACGCGCCACTGAGTCCAGGTCGCCGTGTTGATATCGTAACGCGGTGCGCTAACCAGTGTGCCACCGCTCCAACCTTCGCTTCGTGATGTTTCGTTTTGCAATCACCAACTAACGCGCACAGGGACACCGTCCACCCCGCGCACGCCACCGTCTCACGACAAAGATGCACCACCACCTGCTGCTCGCATGCCCTCTCCCGACAGTTACATGGTGTGCGGGTTTGTGTCAATGATGCACACGTGCTTACGAGTTGTATTATTCGGGCATGACCATAGTTTAAGCAAATGCAGATGTTGTGTTGATCCTGTTTATTCTTTTGCGGGAAGATTAAGTGTGGATGTGTTACTCACTTCCTTCCCCCCACTCCCCCCCACATACCCCGTAACCCATATTCTGACTGTAATTCATCATCGTCGGCCACGGCCAATCCACGGCTGGATGTATGCCACTCCAAGCCTGCGACGGAATCTCATCCACCCCAGCAGCTGCACACGAACCGATTCATTCGCTCCGTCTCCCCGGGGGACGTCCTCTCGGACGCGTTCTGTCACCTTGGCTGTCACACTCCGTCATTCGCCTAGGCCGTCAGCTCCCGTTTCACGTGATTATGCGACGTTTTGTAATTGTGGTGGGCGAGCATTGCCATCGATGTGTATGACTGTGGGTATGTATATGTGACGGCCCTTTTTTAATCCACTGCTGGATGAAGGCCTCCCTACGCCCTGCCTGTCATGGAGGCCGGGGTTGTTAGACCATACTTCACCATGCTGGTCAATGCTGGAGTCGGCGTGGGGGGGAGGGGTCAGGATCTGTTTTGTAAATTAACCTGGGGCCAATTCGCTATCCTTCTTCACGGGCACATTAAGAGTTGTGCTGAGTTTAACATAATCATTTCAACTTAACTTGCAACGTGCCGCACTCGAATTGCCCCACCGTCGATGACAGAGAATGACTCAGAGGCGAGAGGACCTGCAGACAAGCAGGAAGGCAGCCACGCGATAGGCCGGCGCCAATACTTGCCCAAGCTCTGCGGTCTTCTATATATATGCATTATCGTCCAATTGATGAGTGTATACATGTAGCAAAGGAAACTGGAGCACCTGGAGAAAACCCAAGCGTGCGAGGGAGAAACACTCTATCCCAAATTTATGGAACGAGCAGAGTCCACAGTTTTGCTTAAACCGCCTGCTCCTGACAGGCCGGCCTAAGATATTTTTATACGCCCACGAGAAGGGAGTTTCGCAACATTTGTGCGATCCGCGAAACCTCGCTTCCACGGTGCCTGGATTACTTGCTTGCGCAGCACCACCGCCTGGCCCATGAGTGCACTCTCCTAGTGCCGCGTGACAGCCTCTCGCGGTACAACCGTGCACAACGTGAACATTAAAACAGTCCACTCTGGGGGTCTGCAGGATTCTGCAGCGGTGTGCGCGCACGAACTCAAGGCCACCCAGAGCGACACTCAGAGAGACCCCCGGTGGGACCCCATCTCAGCGACACCTTCCGCCCAACGCCCATTGACTCAAGACGCAGCGTCCGAGACCCAACCCGACTGCATCATTGCTTTGCTCGGCCTTGGCTGAAATTGGTGGAGTTTGATTCCAAAGCACGCGGGGGGGGGGGGGGGGCTCCATTGACATGCGTCTGTCCGTTAACCCAAGTCAAAGTTCACCACTCTGCACAAAACACGAGGTTTTAAGTTTCCCACTGGAATAAATCACGCCGAGAAAAAGAAAAAACAGGTTCGGTATTTAACAGTGGATTAGAGAGCACGTATATCACACTAGAGACATTGATTGTATCGACTGTTATGGAAAGTAAGTGGACTTGGGGAGGACACGTCGCTCGAAGGAATCATGATGATGGCCGGTCGGTGGTCGAGACTACAAATAAAAATGCTACGAGAGGCTACGAGACATGATCAAGTGGTACAATGTTATATTGGTAATGTAATCGTAAAAATGGTTATGTGTACAAATGCCGAGGGCGTGACCCGTTCATCCGTCTTCTAAAGCCCCACGTATTTTAATTGCGCGCAAAAGCGAGTCTGAAATTGCGTTCGTCGAAGGTCAAGATTTTAACTTTATTTCTGCATTTGTGTGTGTAGCGGTGAATGCACTGCGCTACGCACCCGGCGACCCGAGTTCGATTCTCTCTCAAGGTCAACATCAACACCAAATGAGTACATTACCTGGTGCAGGGTGTAAACATCGCCGTTCGGGAGACAAAGGCGGCCGGACGTGGTGCTGGCCACCCACCCCCTCGTGCGCCGTGTCGCCCTTCATAGCTGCTCGCTCACAGCACTTGCTCCCAGCAGCCTGTTAAGCCTATACGGGGGATCTTTGTATTTGGCGATCACTGACTACAACTGTATCGAGCAGCAGTCAGCCAGACAACAGCTTTCGATATAAACACGGCAGACTGAAAGCACTGCGCCAACATTACAGTCTGGAAAGTCACAGAGTCCATTGCTATCTGAATTGTGCACAGTACAAAACAAAAACACGCGATAAGACGTTGCTGAATAAACGTGCACATGTAAAATAGCGTCTTCAATAATTTTCTGAAATCGCTCAAAGGTTATGATGACACGCAGCTGCGATCTGTTGGGTCTTTCACTGCAGAGCCGCGCAAGCAGCCGTAAATTTATGATGGTCGTGATCCAGCCTTATCCTGCTAAGTACCTTTAGAGCTCCCAAGTCAGACATGAGCTAAACGGCCTCACAACCGTGGCCTCTTTCCCACGAGAATTTCGTCTTGGGGAAAAATAACTGGCAGAAGTGAAGCCATATAAACTTGCCTCGGCAAGAGGCTCGCCCTGATAGAGGCCGGATTGGCCAACGTGGCTTATCTCCACGAGACGTAAATTAGAAAGCTGTGGACACATCGCAGAACACAGGATTTTAACCCCCCCCCTCCCGCCTCCCTTTCGAGAGGCGTGGTGTGGCTGCTAGCAGGCGGGGTTGTCTTGTTGTAAGGTTGTGTTTCGTAGCACTTTGCAGTCACATGCCTTTCTCTGAAGGGCGGAACGACAAACAGGAACAGCCGTTCCGACGTAGTCGCGGTTGCTCATGCGCACCAACTGAACTTCAGATTGCCGCTTTGGTGTTTCCGTCAACACCGAGATTTGTATGACAGTGTGACGCCAATTACACTTAAAGGGAATATTGGAAAAAAAAATGTGGGGGGGGGAATGAAATGTTAAGGTAACATTTTTCAATGCGGTATAGTCATTGGAAAAGATCGGTGTGCGACCAAGGCCCTATAAATGTGATTACTTAATTTTTGTTTAAAGTTACTGATATTAAATAATGAACAATACTAATATTTATGTTAGCCCTTTGTCAATCATCTGCTGGAAGAAGCCCCCCCCCCAAAGCTACATCGATGATAGATCAAGGTGGGGGGGCGGGGGAGGTTGACCATACTTCACCGCGCTGGTCAATGCGGGTTGGTAACCAGAGGGCCCAGGACCAGTTCAGACACCACTCGCCGCTGATGTTAACCCTGGCGAGGAAGTTCATAGCACAGTGTGCTCACCATTGCGCCACCACTAGAAACAAAGTCAAGTCAAACGTGTTTTGCCGTCGAATATTACGCGAAGTATTTTCAGCAGGCGGGGTCGTCTTGTCGTAAACGTTTAAGTTTAAATTACAGCACTAATGACGTACAATGATGCAAACTGTAGAACACATTCCTGCGGATGGAGCTGGTAGGAACGTTGGGTTGCTCGGTCAATGGCCAGGGTCAACGGCGGCGTGGTGTATTTCGTAAATATGGCCGACTGTGAGGGCGGGCACAAGCCGGCGTGAGTAGGTTAAACGTTGAGTTTTATAAGGGCACCACGGGGTGACCAGCCCCTCCCCACCCAGCCCCACCCCTCCCACCCCCCACCCAGCCCCACCCTCCCCACCCAGCCCCTCCCCACCCTCCCCTCCCCAATCAGCCCCACCCTCCCCACCCAGCCCCTCCCCACCCAGCCCCTCCCTTCCCACCCAGCCCCTCCCTGCACGACGGACGGACGGACACAATAATCCCTTGTGGGCTGGTGTAACCAGGAGGTTCCTACCAGTATAAAATACTGTATGCAGTAACTAATGCACCAAATATCCCTCGCTATACTCATTACATCTAAGCCGAACGTGAGAATAAATATTAATCACGGACATTTGTTTATTCACCTGTGCATATTTCCGTTTAAAAATATACATAGGCAATAAGACATTATTTGAATGAATATCAATATCATTAACATCGCAGTGAAAAATCGATTACAAAAATAACAAAGATCATCAATCCATTTCGATTTAAAGCTTTCGTGACTGCAGGGATTCATCTTCTTGTTTCTTTCGGTAAAGTCACGTAGAAGGGAAGTAATAAAAT